TTGCATGGAGCAAGCATGCTCCTAACTGCTTCCCACTCTTATCATAGGGCTGGACAGCTCTTCAACACAGCTGAACAATACCAGGCCTCTAGATGGTGTAGGTCTTGGCTCTCAGCCTTCTCAATCCAGCTTCCATCTTCCAGCTTGATGACTGATAGCTGGGATTGAGTCTGCAGTAATTCATTTCCTTTGATGCCGGTTTTTACTGTAGATAAAGGATCAAGTGTGTTTTATCCCCTTTACAACCTGGGAAACATACGAGAGAGGTCTTCATGGTTGTGTGGACAGGCTGGGTGTCAGCATTGTTGTACCTACTCTCACCATCTTGGTTGCTGTCACCCCTGTGTCAGGCGAGTACTTACTGAGGGAGGGCACACAGGAGAAAAGCCATGTGGCCAATGGCAGGATGAATGCAGTTCTGCTAGGCAAAGGATGAGTAAACAGTTTCTTTTGAGTCAGAATTTTCTGCAGATGGCACATATGGTATTTCTGGTTGCCCCATTGAAGTAAATATTTGGAACAAAACTGGGACATATTGTTCCTCAGACTTTCTTAAGCTTTTATTTTAGATTAGTAGCAAGGATACATATTTATGATATCCACACAGAATTTTGAAACAAACCCTGGAGACTTTAGACAGGCCAAATATTAGAAAGAGAGCCTGATCATTGATGGTGGTTGCTGTTTGCTGACTCTTCTCCTTATCCTATGGCTATGTGAAACTCTGCTTGTACTCACCCTGGGAGGAGACATGGGTATAAATGTATCCTTAGGAATCTCCCAGTTATTGGAAAAGTAGGTTTTTTTTCCCCCTACATGTACTGCTTGTGAATTCAAATGGCTTGTTAAGTAATTTCACTGGTAAAACATCAACAGGAGAGTAATTGGGCTCTTGAGTGAACTTCTAGGTTTATTGACATTCATAACAGTGTTATTACAGGCTAGGGTGCTAACTAATATCACTGTCCTTAGATTTCTGATGATCCTTCAGCTTGGCTTAGAATTTAAAGTGTGTATGCATTCCCGTATAGTCTTGGTATCTGATCTTTTTTTTTTTTTTTGGTCCGGTCGTGGGGCCTGAACTCTGGGCCTGGGCACTGTCCCTCAGCTCTTCAGCTCAAGGCTAGCGCTCTACCACTTGAGCCACAGCACCACTCCCAGCTTGTTTTCTTTTTGCTTATGTGGTGCTGGGGAATCGAACCCAGGGCCTCATGCATGCAAGGCAAGCGCTCTACCACTGAGCCACCTTCCCAGCCCTTGGTATCTGATCATATGATTGCTGATCAAAGTTAGATTATGGGCTTCATTTCCCCTCCTCTCTCTTCATTTCCTTCCCTTTCTTTGCAGTAATTGGGATTGAACATAGGGTCTTGTTCATGCTGTACCGCTGAGCCACACTCAGGTCTTTTGTGTTGTAGGCCTGTGGTTCATGCTAGTAATCCTACCTACTCAGGTTGCTGTGATGTAAGGATTGTGGTTCAGAGCCTGGCAGGAAAGTTTATGAGACTCTTATCTCTAATAAACTACTCAGAAAAAGCTGAAAATGGAGCTGTGGCTCAAGTTGTAGAGTGCTAGCCTTGAGGAAAAAGAAGCTCACGGTCAGTACCCATGCCCAGAGTTAAGCTCCAGGACCAGCAAGAAAAAACAAATTGAGATCAGGATCTCATTCTGTAGCTCAGGCTGACTTTGATTCTTGACCTCTGAATAGCTGATATTACAAATCTACACCACCATGTCCAGTTTTCAGCATCCATATTGAGCCTATAGAAAATGAAGAGTAATTTGTGGCTGCTATGATTTTGTGCTAAGCAACTTTTTAATATTTCAAAAATCAATGAGGGGCTTTCATTGATCAAGTTTTAAGTGATGTAATGACACAGACCTTGACTGTGTAGCTTTTGCATGTTAGGGCTATGCTAAGCATTTTATGTTTGTGATCTAACTTAATCTTCATGATGGCTTTTAAGGGTCAATATTACTATTCCTTTTTTAAAGATTCAGAAATTAATGCTTAATGAAAAAGCTTAAATAACTCACCTAAGGTCACATGGCTAGAATCTAGTGGAGCTGGGGAAATGAAACTTGTTTTGTCTGGTTTCAAAGCCCAAGGAATAACTTGCCATTTCTTGGATTAGAATAAGCCATTCAAACAGTCAAAAATGCATTACAGCAGAGCTAATACTTAGGCAAATTTACTGTTATTAAAGGATTAAGGAAATAGCCTCTTACTTCTCCATACACCCAATGAAAATCTTGAGGCTGAAAGTAATGACTGCTGATCAAAATAGATTTTCAGACCATGCACTTCTCAGTACCTAGATAAAAGGTTATTTAGAAGCAATCAATGGGTTCCTATCTTCTTGTGTATTTGTTGCAACCTGCCACAACCGTGGACAAGGCAGTAATGGAGAGCAGACTGTGGGTGCCAGGGGAACTGGCAGCTTCAGATCCCAACGTTCCATTCACCAAGGTTTTTTTTATCGTGTTTTGTATAGGGAGGTATGTGTAGAAAGTAAGGTATAAGCATCAACACGTGGCAATAGTTTATATAGAAGCGGTAGAAGACTTTCTCATCTTGGGAACTAGAGCTTACAATTTGCATAAACCTTAGTCTATACCCAGGCTCCCAGGCAGTTTAGGGTCCAAATAGCCCATATCCAGGATAGAAGAAATCTGAATTCCTGCAAAACCAGAACTGATTGACCTTTCTCGTGAACCTTCAGCTTTCTGAGAGTATATGTTGGGAAAATGACCTTTCAGACTTCCAGTCCTTTTTGGGGCTCCGACATGTATTTTTATTACTTATGAGCATATCAAATCCAGAGGACTTTTACAAACTACTGTAGCATTTCAGGGTACCCAGAATTCTCCGCTCAGTCTCTTGGTCATATGTGATGAGGAGTTAACATTTTAGGAATGCTGAGGCTAACGTTGCCTACTGCACATACCCAGAGAGGGAGTCTGCATTGCCACATGTTCTCTATGATGAGATAAGCTCTTCACTGATGTTTTCTTCTTTTATATTTTTGTGCCATTAATAGTGCATGAACACAAGGTGTGGGCACTACCCCTTAACTTGAGCCACATCTCCGTTTCTGACTTTTGGTAATTATTTGGACATAGGAGTCTTATAGATTTTCTTGCCTGGGCTGGCTATGAACCTCGATCCTCAGATCTCAGCTTCCAGCGTGGTTAGGAGCACAGGTGTGAGTCATTGACACCCAGCATTTTATCAAGATCAGTTAATAGAGACTTCCCTCTGTATTGTCTTCCATGAGGACAGTACCATAGTTTATTTAATCTGTTCCCCACACGGATGAACATTTAGCTTTCCCAACCTTTGTCAGTAAACTTACTGCTATAGTGACTAATGGGTACATGTGACATAACCTTTGGGTATGGGTTTATCTGGAGGATGTTTCCAGAGAAGGGCCTGGAAGGACATTTGCACCGTGACAGTTCTGCCAGTTTGCCTTCCTGGACTTTGCTACTATTTGCTTCTATCATGTATTTCCCTGTGGCCTTGTAGACAGATTGTGCACTCAAACTTTTGAATGTTTGCCAGGCTAATGGTTGAAAGATGGTGCTAAATGTAGTTTGAATCTCTGTCTTATGAGTATAGTTGAACATATTTTTTGTATGGTTTCTGGACCATTTATTTCTTTTTCTGTAAACTGTTCATCTTGTGGCCCATTTAATAAAAGTTTCCAGTGTACATTTTCCCTCGTCTTATTACTTGGCTTTATTGGTGATGGGTAGTGGTTTGTTTGCTTCCTTGTGAAAACTTTTACTTTTTACTCTTTGTTGTTGTTGTTGTTTGAAACAGGAACTTGAAGTTGGTACTTGGTGCTTTTGCTCATTGGTTAGCCTTCTACCAACTGAGCCTTACTTCCAACCCCAGCTTTTACTTTGTAGGTAGTCAAATTTATTGAGCTTTTCTCTTTTGGCTTTTAGTTTCAAAGTATTAGGATTTTCAGGACTACAAATTTTCTTCCAGTGATGCCTCCTGCCTTTTCAACCAATCCACTAAAGTGGGGAGGGTCTATGCTTTGAGCAGTGAATCTAGGTTTGTTTTTCAAGAGGCTTCTTGATTATTGAAAAATTTATCTCCAGTAAGTAGACATGCCATCTTCATAGACGAATTATAATTTGGATTACATGCTAGGATAGAATAATATGTCAGCACTGTACTAACAAATGAGGTAGGTGCAATGCACTAATTCATGCAGGAAACCTTAAGCATTTCATTTAATAAACAATTATTGTGCCAGGTGCCAGTGGCTCACAACTGTAACCCTCGCTCCTCTTATCTGAGGATCCCAGTTCAAAGGCAGCCCAGGAAGAAAAGCCCACCAGATTCTTATCTCCAGTTAATCACCAAAAGGCCAGAAGTGGAGCTCAAGTGGTAGAGCCAATAGCGTTGAGCAGGAACAGGGCCCAAGCCCTGCTTTCAAGCCCCAGGACCAGAACAAAAACAAGCAAGCACAAAGCAGTTATTGTATGCCAGGCATTGGCTATGGAATGATGAGTGAGAATGGATCTCTAGAGATTGTCCACAGATGAGGAGTGGAATCTCAGCGTGGTAGAGAAAGGCAGCTGAGAGGCTGAGAAAGCCCGAGAGATACCCTGGAACAGTCCCTACTGAGCTGCGGTTGAGTGTTGAGCCGAAGGGTATGAGGCAGAGGGGGAGCATTCTAGGGAAGGAAGCAATGACAGGGAGGCAGGCAGAGGTCTATGGGCCCATGGGGCAGGGTTGGGTTCAGCTGTTCTTCATGGCTATAGTGAAGAATAGAACATATAACTCAAGATGAAGGGCAGAGACTGTCAATGCCATTGTGCTTCTTCAGTGAGAGCTTGTGGGATGTGGGAACACTTAAACATTTGCCTTCTCCTTTCCAAGCAGGTGGAGGCCAAGACTGAGTTCCCATGTTAGTGTAAGTCAAGCATAGCCATGCTCTGCAGGCCACTTGTTGAGTTTTGACACCTGTTGCTTATTCTAGAGTACTCCAAGCTCCCGGAGCCGAAGTCTCACTTTGCTCCCCCATGGAACACCCAATTCTGCGTCTCCCTGTAGCCAGAGACACCTCAGTGCGGGGGCCCCCGGTGTTGTCACAATCACGCATCACAAGTCGCCTGCAGCTGCTCGAAGAGCCAAGAGTCAGTATTCCGGCCAGCTTCACGAAGTCAGAGAGGTAGGCCTTGCTCTCCTACTGGCCTAAGTGGCCCTTGGTAGTTGGGGACTGTGGCCATGGCCTGGCAAACTCCTCTTTTTTTTGTGTGTATGTGTGTTGGTACTGGGGTTTGAACTCAGGGCTCATACTCTCTCTTTTTTACTCAAGGTTGGTGCTCTACCACTTGGGCCTTATCTCCATTTTGAGCTTTTTGATGGTTAATTGGAGATAAAGAGTCTCAAGGACTTTCCTGTCCAGGCTGGCTTCCAACCTTAGTCTTCAGATCTCGGCCTCCTGAGTAGCTAGGATTACAGGAGTGAGCTACCAGTCCTTGGCGAGGGCCTGTTGTTCGAGGACATGTCTTTTCACAGCTTGGAGCCTCAGTGTCTGCACATGTAAAATGGGAGTGAAGCCAGCTTTGCCAGCTTTGCGGGACATTGAGTATTTCCCAAGATAGTGCGCACAGAGCTCTTTAACCGTGCCTTGCAGAATTTATCCGGGTTGTTCTGTGACTTCCTGTGATAGCCTGGGAGGACATCCAGTTGGAGGTTGTGTGTCCTTGCTGTTCATGTCAGCTTTGGAGACAGCCAGTGCTGACTCGGCCATTTTCCCTTCAGCTGACTCCTGTCTAGGTTAGCTTGCTGTGTTCTTATAGTGGTGGTGGAGTGCTTGCTGTGTCTCATAGGAGACTGAGGCGAGAAACCCAAGATCTTGTGTCTGCTTCAGTCAGTCCTTTGTTTGTAAATGTGATGAGTCAGGCAATGCCATGGCAGCTGACTGTCTTGGTCTGATTCAGAAAAGAACATTAAAAAAATCTTCTGAATTAAGGGCAGGACATAGCAGCTCATGCCTATAATGCCAGCTGATGGAGAGGCAGAGATCAGGAAGATCTTATTTGACTTAAGGCAATCTCCATCTTTTTTGTTTTTTGTTTTTGTCAGTCGTGGGGCTTGAACTCTGGGCCTGGGCGCTGTCCCTGAACTCTTAGGCTCAAGGCTAGCACTCTACCTCTTGAGCCACAGCACCATTTCTGGTTTTCTGGTGGTTTATTGGAGATAAGTCTCACGGTCTTTCTTGCCCAGGCTGGCTTTGAACCTCGATCCTCAGATCTCAGCCTCCTGAGTAGTTAGGATTATAGGCGTGAGCCACTGGAGCCCAATAGAAATGTGCATCTTAATGACAGCTAGGTATGGTAGTGATAACTGAAATTCCAGCTACATAGGGGGTATAGTGGTCCAAGGCTGGCCTCCAGTAAAGAGTATGAGACCCTATCTGAAAAATAGCTCAAGCGAAAAGGGCTAGAGGTGTGGCTCTAATGCTGGAGGACCTGCTTAGCCAAGTGTTGGGTCTTGAGTTCAAATCTAAGTACCACTGAATCAAACAATAAAACCAAAACTTCTGAGTGAAAGCTCTAGATATATATGAAATGTTTTCCTCATAGATTTTATGTAGCTCTAGAGGTGTATAAAATACTTCATAAGTTTTGTGTGAGTATACACATATATACACATACACTGATAAAAGATGATTATAGAATCAGGTTTCAGGTAGATCACTCATGTTGAAATAGTCTAATGTGTAGAAAAAGAAAAGCTTCATTTCCCTCCCTCCCTCTCTCCCTCTTTCACTTCCTCCTCCTCTCTTTCCCTTCCTCCTCCTCTCTAGTACAGGGCCTCTAGCTCTCCTTTGGCTTTTCACTTGAGCTACACATGTACTTCTGTTTTTGTAGTTAATTGGAGATATGATCTCATGGACTTTTCTGCTTGGGATGGCTTTGAACTGAGATCCTCAGATCTCAGCCTCCTGAGTAGCTAGGATTACAGGTATGAGCCATGGGTGCCCGGCACTTTCTTACATTCTGGCTGTGGTTATTGTACATCTGTGTGTTTCACTGTTCCTTTTTGTAGCACTTTTCAGAGGCATTGCTGTGGAAGATAGAGTGGAAAAATTTCAAGTACAGACAAAATAGAACAGTGTCCTGTCCTCAGTGCTGTTCCACTTGCGGGTACCCACCTCCAGCAGTTATTACTTGCTCTCCTGTTTCTCATTTGCTTTGGTTTCTATCACTGCTCCTCCATTCACAGGAACTGAATGCCTCTCTATATATCCAGTACATTTAAAACAACTTATAGTCTTTTATATATGCCTCATAGGAAATTATTTCTTAAGTCCTTTGGGACTATCACCTTAAACAAAAGGGCAGTTGGAGGTTTACAGTTTGTTGGGAATTCTTTGTGCTCTATTTAATGAGTTCCATTAGGCTTGTTGTTATAAGTCACAATAGAAGGCCTTGAGAAGGTGCAGTGTTTATGTGTAGTGAGCTGTGGCCATATGAAGTCTCTCAACTTTTGTTTAGTATTCTTTTGTAGCTTCTTTAGCAGCATTTGATTCTACATAATGCCCAAATCCTTTCGACCTTAAAAGTATGTTATTTGTGTGTGTCTGAATATATGTGCAAAAATGCTTAATTACATAGGTATATAGTGTAATTGTGTATTGCAAAAACCCAAACAATAAAGAATACGTAAATGAATCATAATTCTACTTCCTTGCAGGTAACATCTATTAAACTTGCCATGAATTTACTTCTGAATTTTTCTTTCTTATTACTATAAAAGTGATGTGCAGAGGGGTTGCAGTTACATAAGTTAGGTAAAGTGTACATTTGTTTTTAGACACTGTTACCCCTTCCCTTTCTCTCTCATAGTTTTTCCCTCCAGTCCTCACCCACAAGTTGTACAGTTCATTTTCAACATAGTGTGTCTAATGTACTTCTGAATTTTTTATGTAAGTATATGTGTAAATGATCTATGCTCTATGATCTAAGCTCTTTTTTTTTCTGGTTGGTCATGGGGCTTGACCTCAGGGTCTGGGCACTGTCTGTGAGCTTTGTTTTACTCAAAGCTAGCGCTCTACCACCTTGAGCCACAGTTCCACTTCTAGTATTCTGGTGGTTAAATGGAGATGAGTCTCATGAACGTTCCTGCCTGGGCTAGCTTTGAACTGTGATCCTCAGATATTAGCCTCCAGAGTAGCTAGGATTATAGGCATGAACTGCTGGCACCCAGCTTGATCTAAACTTTTTAAACAAAATGATTACCTATATGCCTTTATTTTTCGTCTTTCCCCCCACTCCTTTTTTTTCCTTATATTTTGAGACAGTCTTCATATGTAATCTAAGTTGGTGTGAAACTTGTGAACCTCCCTCCTCACCCTCCCTTCTGGCCTTGCCTTTTTAAATCTTTTTTTCTTTATTGTGTTGTTTTTCTCCTCTAGTTTCTGTGTATGTGAAGAACTCATTGAAATTTCTCATGGAGTTTTTTTTCTATGGTAAATAAGTAGGTAAAATATCCCCGCAGTGATTTTGAGTCAGTGTTTGTGCTCCTGAGTGTCAGTATATACCTTCAGACAATTGCCTTTATGTATTGGTGACTTTTTCTTGTTGAAAATTTGTTTTGAGTATGATTATTGAGATGAACATACAAATATGAGTTGAGAGAATTTTAGGAAGCCGAGCCACTCAATGACAGGTTGAAATGTTCACTTTTTGGTTGTCATTTCCACTGCCACTCTGGACCGGGCAGGGGAGTTGTTTTGTGGGAGATGCCATCTTGTGATGTATCTAGATTCACCTGTGCATATCTTATTCGTGAGAGTTCTGTACAAATTATAGATCTCTGTAAGCTTGGTACTGACGGCTTGTGCCTCTAATCCTAGCTACCCAGGAGCCTCAGATCTGAGAAATGAGGCTTGAAACCAACCTAGGCAGGAGAGTTCATGAGACTCTTAACCCAATTAATCAGCAAAAAACTAGAAATGGAGCTGTGGCTGAAGTGGTAGAATGCCAGCCTTGGACAGAAAAAACCAAGGTTTAGCTTCCAGGCCCCGTGTTCAAGCCCCAGGACCAGTGTGTGCGTGTGTGTGTGTGTGTGTGTGTGCGCGCACACACACACACACACACACACACACACACACACACACATACACAGCATATCTGTTTTTAAATTCTCCTCTATAATATAAATAGCTATTCAGGAAATATAGCCCAACTGTACAGGAAAGATAAACTTAGCATCATTGCAGGAATAGAGGAAATCATCACACAGAAGATAGATGAGCCTCTGAATATCAGAAGAATAAGAGAGAAATACCCAGCCAAAGGCAATAGAACAAATACTATGTAAATGCCATAGCAAGGGTAAAAGGGATAGGACAACCTGAAAGATGAAGTGGTTATTATCTAAAGCTTAAAAGAATGGAGATGCTGACTGTCAGTACCTGGTGTCCTCACAGGAATAGCTTAGGAGTTGGGAGCTGAGGGATTGGCGACACTGCATTTTGAGGAATAGACATGTCCCCACCAGCAGTCGGAGAAATGAAAACTAAAGCCAACTTGATGGTGAAGGTATCAACCTATATGTATATGGGGTTCAAAAATGGTGGCTGGGTGGCATGTTGTCTCTTTACTACAGTTTGTTGATGTATAATAAACACAAAGCTGTGTGTCACCACTGACTTGCAAGTTCCTTTCTGGGAACTATATCTGGAGAACACTATCATTTGTAGTCAGGGTAGGAAGAAAAAGAAAAAGCTAATTTAGACCAAGCTACTTTTTTTGGAGGTGCCAGTCCTGGAGTTTGAACTCAGAGCCTCTTGCTTGGCATTTCTCCTCTACCCCTTTTTGCTGGTTATTTAGAGATAATAGTCTTGCAGATTTGTCTGGTTCTAAACGGGGATTCTGAGATCTCAGCATTGATTTGGTGACATTGAAACTGATTTATAAATAGAATCTAACACATTTCAAAAATTAATTTGATCTGGGCACTGGTGGCTCATGTCTGTAATCCTCAGGAAGCTGAGATGTGTGAGCATCACGGTTTGAAGCCAGCCCAGGCAGGAAAGTCTGTGAGACTCTCATGTCCAATAAACTACTCAATAAATAACTCAAAACAGTGGTTCAAATGGTAGAGTGCTAGACTTGAGCTCAAAAAGGCTTGAGGTCAGTGCCCAGGCCCGAGCTC